GGCAGTTAAATTATTATTTTTTTTTAATATAAAAAGCATTTATATTTGTGTTGTGTGGTTGTTCACTGCTGCTTTTCCGTTCCAGGCAGTTACTGAAAGACCCCCAGGTGTTGTTTGCAGGGTACAAGGTCCCGCACCCGCTGGAACACAAAATCATCATCCGTGTCCAAACCACCCCCGATTACAGCCCCCAGGAAGCTTTCACCAATGCTATCACGGATTTGATCAGTGAGCTCTCCCTCCTGGAGGAGAGGTTCAGGGTAAGTTTAGTGGTGGTGGTGGGGGGGTGGTTTTTTTTTTTTTTTTTCTTTAAAGCATTTGAGCACCTTGCAATTAAAAGTTAAACAATGGGAGGGGTAGTATGTCAAAGCTGCTGGTTTAGGTCAGTAAATTCATTGAAGCCACGCAGCACCGCATTACTCAGCTCCTGTCAAGGCATGGTGGGGCCTGGCTGCTCTCAAGGGTTACTTGCACGCCCAACAAGGGTTCAGTGGGTGCTCTGTAATTCCCTAGGTGGCCAGCATTAGCACTGGTTGTAGAAAACAAATTTCTATTCTTCCAAGTGTTTTTCTTTTTTTTTTTTTTTAACTTCTCCTGCCAAAACTCTAGGACAGTAATTGGGGTTTTTTTTTGACCACTCCTCATTGATTCTGCTCAGCTGTGCAATCATATTTATTTAGCCCCTGATTTCTTGAGACTTAAATCTGCCTGAAAGGCTATTCAGACAAAGCCAGGGGGACTATGAATAGGATACCATCTGCACAGCCTTCTCTGATGTGCTGGTAAAAGGTAACAGTGCACCACTTTTGTAAATACGTTTTGATTTTAAGTATTATTTCTCTGGATGGTGTAAAGATTTCCACTGAAGGTTTGCAGTGGTTCTTGGGTTTTACAGAAGACTGTTAGGAATGTTTAACTAACCTCCTCCAGCTCAGTAACAGTTCTTGTCTTAGCGCATGTGTTTGTGTTTTACAGGTTGCTATTAAAGACAAACAAGAAGGAATCGAGTAAAATCACCCCATTTAGAGCGGACTGTACTTCTGAGGCAGAATGACATGTCTGTTGGTTGAATGCTGTATTTAAACCTCCATTCACGGCAAATATTTCCCCTTTGTCCCACTTATGTTTAGTTTTTGACAGCAGCAGCAGTGATATTTTGAGGTTGTTTGTTTTTTTTTTTTTTTTATACGAGACAGGCACTTTGCCAAGAGGATAAATGTCCTGTTTGATTTGATGGATAAGTCATTAAAATGATTTCTACTTTTCTAATTGGAGCCTTAAGGCACATATTTGTGCTGGGCTGTTGGCGAGTTTATTGTGAGTGTACTTCCAGAAAAGGAAGCTGCTGAGCGATAGCGGTAGATGAACTCTCTGCTTTTCTTTTTCAAGAAGTCTAGGCACTGCCAACTGAATTGGTATTTTGTTTTATTAAGTGTCATTTCTATAAAACAAATGCACAAATTGTGAAAACTTACAGTAAAAGAAACCGGATGTTTACAATGACTTGATGAGTTTAACAAACTCTTACTGTTTTTTTTTTTTCTCTTGCATGTAATAGCTGGTCTAGAAAACTTCATGGTTACATGGGTAACAGTCACTAATACTGCACTATTTCAAAGCATGGGAATGAAACTGTTAGAAGGAACTATGACTTCTTCCAAATCGCTGTTACGTTCACACTAGTTAGAACAACAAGGTAAGTAAAAGTAGGGTCTGATACCACATTGTTTATTAGGACTTCAGTCAGCTGCTCCCCGTTCGCTCGAAGCTCTGGCCACTTGAGAATCTACAAGGAGAACAGAGTTTGGGTAGGAAAGGAACGGTGGTATTGTCTCTGAAAGTGGGAGGTTATTAATTACTGCAAGGCCTGGCTTGACAATTGGGCCTCTGTGGAATCCCCTTCCCTACTGACCTGGGGAACCTGAATAAAAGGTTCTTCCCCTTTCTGAGGGAGCTGGTGCAGCTTTATGATATTGCTCCTAAAGGAGCAGGGTTTAATGCAGAGGGGCTTGATCAGAAAAGAAAAAATGAAAGCAGCTGCCCCTCAGTCCTGGAGGAACTGACTGACTCGGGCAATACACTTCCAAAAAGTTGATGGACGCTGCGGCACTTCGTACCTATGTATAAAGGTAGCTCAAGACCAGGCTCTGATCGTCCTTTCAGAGCCTTCACCATGCAAGGGAACAGTAATTGCCCAAAGGAGGACTATCTCTGGAGGCTGGGGAAATACCAAGGCATGGGGGGAAAGGGCTGGCATGAGCATACAGGAGCATGCCAGGGAACAGCCACACAGGCTTCCCTCCCCTCGGCTCGTCAGGGAAATGGTGCCTGCATGCTTGTATGCTCAGGCTCTCCAATTTAACCCCTCATTTTTTTACTGAGGGCCCTTCTGCTAGGAAAAGTTGCCAAGCTGCAGAACACAGGAGCAAACAGGTGTGCTTTACAGCTCCTAATTCCTGTCACAGTTGTGTTTGCATGAGATTTGAAAGATCACCTTGGTCATCCTGGCTTGGAGATTGCTTTTAATTGTGTGTGTTGGGCAGAGACACCACTGGGCATGTTCTGGTGTAAATCTGCTCAGGAGACTCGGGACAGCTGCACAGGGGAGGGAGGCCGGCCTGGCTCAGCCCCAAAGGGTAAATGAGACCCACCTGTGTGGGAGGGATCCTCTTGTCTGAGCGTTTTCCCTTTGCAGAGCTCCACGCTGTGGTGTAGTTTGAGAGGTTGTACATCCACACACTTCCCTTCTCATCACCACAGAACACGTAGGCTTTTGCTGTAAGACCAAAAGAAGCTGGAAAATGAGTGTGGAGCTGAGAGGCCACACCTCTCTAAAGCAGAGCTCAAGACAGTGCTGAAGGATCCCAGGGAGGGTTTCAGCAAAATTTTCTCTCTAGCACAAATACATGAATCTACCTCACTCTGAAAAAAACACTAATTCATTTGAAGATAAATCAGCGGTTTTACTCTAGTAAGAAAAGCTAGTGACAATGTTTTGGCATTTCTTCGGACTTTTTCAGACTTGTTCGTTTTGGAAAGTGGCAATCAGATCAGGTTTGTTTATTCCTTGTTAGTCTCAAAAGCCAGCTGCCCTGTGTGAGGAATTCCTACCCCTTACTTCAGATGCAGCAAGCATTAAAATGCCTCTAGAAAAGGTACAGGGCCAAGCCACCAGCTCTGTGTGCTTTGAAGACCTGTACAAGGAACACTGTGGTGGCACCGTACAGTCGGTGTAACACTGTAAGCCCGAGCTGTTCCCCCGCTGGATGTCAACTAGCATAGCTGCATTTATGCGTTACGTATTTATATACAGCTGGCGCTGGGCTGTTGCCGCACTGGGCTGGAGCTGCAGTGCAGGGGGGCGAGGGCTCGTGTCGCTTGCAGAGGGCAGACCAGACACGCGCTCTCTGATGGGGACTGAAATCCAGGCCTGCCTCTAGCTACGGGCTCCCCGACGGGTGCAAGGGAGGCACGCACAACTGGTCTAAGGGAATCCTGACCCGTGCGGCCGTCTCTGCTACGGTGACTGGTACAGCCTGGCTGCCTGCCCCGAGGAAGGGTGCTGCCTACCTGGGCAGGTGCTGAGCGTCAGGTAGGACAGGTCTGTCATGGACCACTCGAGCTCAGCCAGAATAAGCGCAGATACCGTTCGCTGGCATCCTTTCCCCTTTGCGTCAAAGGACCGACTCCAGCTCCACAAGTATATGCATCCTGGTTTAGAGCTCTTGGAAACTAGGGAAGGAAGATGGGAGAGGCTGTCTCAGTTGCTGAGAAGTGAAATGCCTCAAGACAAAGGCTGGCCTCTGGTGAAGGCGGTCCATCCAGAAGGTGGCTTTTAAGATGTGGGATCTGATACCAACAGCAACTGTTTCCACCTCCTTTACCTTATTTCAGGATAATTGGAGGCTGCAGAAGGATTTTCAGTCCCATGCTTATGTTCCTGAACTGTAGAACAAGCATAAGCTCTTCAGAAAGACCCAGCCCATGCTTTCAAGCACCCTCCCAGATGTGGGAACCCCCAATTCCCCTGCAAAAACCATACTGCTGCCACCAGCCCTTGAGCAGAAAGGAGCTCTCCTCCCTTCCGCTTCGGCACTGCGCAGCCAAGCCTGCGCTTGGGGATGGGTCCATCTGATTTCCTGTCCTGCTCAGACATGGGTTTGCACCTCTAGCCCACATTTTAAGGAAAGATAAGTGACTCTGGGAGACAACTCCATTCTGTGTAGCCCCCCCCCAAAAAAAAACTCTAAAGACAAGGTAGTCGCACCCCATTCAGCCCCTCTGCTCATCATGCTGGCTTCAGCCTGCCACATGCTGAGGTGCCTGACTGTTTTTCTGGATTGGGCTATTGTGTTCATACTCACCAATGACATCATCATTCAGAAAAGCCAAACCGTCAACCCTGTGAGATGTTGTTATGCCTCCATCCTCATTAGGAAACTGGAATACGGCTTCAAAAGGCCTAGAGTAGGGGGAAGGGTGAAATGAGTCAAGTCCTGAATGGGCAGCAGTGGAAGGGCACTTGGGGACAGAACCCAGGAGCAAATTCATGTGTTAGTGAGCCTCTTGCCAAACTCAGATGAATTCCCACTTAAACTTAAGCTTTCAGCCACCTGGCTTTATTAATACAGCAGAAGCCCATTTGCTGAAGAGACTGCTGTTTTACTTCATCTGATTTTGTAGGCATCAGGATTAGTATATGTTAGCAGGGCAGGACTTCACTTGCTTCTTTCTTGTAATTTTTTTTTCTGTGCTCCCACAGAGTGCCAGTTTCCTGGGTAACCTCATGTACCACAAGCAGGGTAGGCCTTGCTGTGAGACTGGAACGCAATCCAAGAATTTACACACCCTTACACTACTTCAAGATGATACGCCCTTAAGTTTTAGGGTATTGCATTACACATGTCAGCCCTCCTTCAAAGCAGCCTGCAACACTTGCACACTGGAGCATCAATACAAGTGGAGGGCTGCTAGCTTTGAACACTCCTTTAGCATTACGCTAGTATTTATTTCTTGCCATTATGGGGTAGGGAACATGTTTTAAGTTTAGTAGGACATGCTGCTTTACTTGCTCAGACCTCCTTGGTTAGAAATAAAGCCATTGCTAGCACTACCTCTTCTTGTTATGAAAAGTGAAGGCATGCCCCCAGCTTTTGATTGTCACCTGCTTTTTTGTTCCTTATCCAGTTTTATATTCCAGGCAAAACAGCCGCCTTCACAGCCAGCCAGCAGGTACTGATCTGGGCAGGTGGGGACCAGGACAATCCGTAAGGGAATGGAGAGCGCTTCCAGCACCAGCAGCTGGCTAAAAAAAAAAAAAAAAAAAAAAAAAAAAAAAAAAAGAGAGAACAGTTAAGTGGTGCTGCGAAGTGATAGGCTCCTGGACTGGCCACATCTGGGTTTTGAACCTTTACCTTGCTTTGAACTTGTAGTCACAGTCTGGAATCCCAATATCCCAGAGTGCAATTCGCTTGTCATAGGATGCAGCTGTGGGACACAGAAGAGAAGCAGGTAGTGACACCGCTGCTCATCTGGCTCTTCTCGTGCTAGCTGGCAATTCTACCCGTGTCACAGGCTGTAACACTCTGCCTGTGGCATCAGAGAGCTCATTAAAGCACAGCAGCAGTCACTGAGGCTCCTGGCTCAACACCACTTCACAGACATTGTCAAACATGCACGGTCAGTAATCTGCATTCTTATCCTGTGCTCTAAGAGGAGCAGATAAAAGAAAGTTTGTTTCCTGGTGTCCATTACTAAGTTGTGGATTCACAAGGTCATTAATTAATGCTCCTTTGAGCTCATCTTTCTGGTCATGGGTTCTAGTGGAATCTAAAATACGAGCTCCAACCTCTACTCTCAGGCAGATGCCACTTTATTCCACATATCCATGGCTTACTGTGTTCACATCCACAACAGCTCCCATTGGGAAAGTTAGGCACTGATGTAAAGTGCGCAAGACACTTAATGTCTGTCACCAAGCTAATGCACTGATAGCAGAAACAGTCCTAATA